CCCCCCCGCGCCCGTCCCCGCCCGTCCCCGTCCCAGCCTCCTGCCGGCCTGTGATTGGCTGCCGATGTGATCCCGGGTCCCGGTACCGGATAAATGTCCCGCCGGGTGCCAGCGGCTCCGTGTGTCCCCTTCGCCCTGACTAAAGATGACCGGCCGGGAGGAGCTCGGAGAGGAGAAGCCCAGAGTGAAGATGCTTTCCCCGGGCTTCGGGATCGACAAGTCCCGGCTGCACGGCTCCGGGTTCCGCTCCAAAGGCTTCGCCATCACGGACCTGTTGGGCCTGGAGTCGGACCTGCAGGCCCGGCAGCAGCCCGGCGGGGCCCCCGGTTCGGGCCTGTCCGCGGCGGCGGGCTCCGGGCCCGGGGCGGAGCCGCAGGGGCCGGGCGGCGGGCTGGGCGGCTTCTCGTTCCCCGGAGGGTCGCTGCCGCTCGGCCTCGGGTTCCTGTGCAGCCTGGCGGCGCAGCAGCCCGCCGGGGCTCCGTGCTTCCTGCCCGGACACCTGCCGCTGCTGCAGGCCCGGGCCGACAGCCACTACCTGCAGAACCTGGAGGCCCAGAGGGACGCCTACTCCGGTACGGGTTTAATGGAGCTGCTCGGTTCGGTTGGATTTACGGCCCGTTTGAACGGTTTGAGCTGCTGTCACGGCTCGGTGCGGTTCTGGTCGGGTTTAAATGAAGGCCGAACTTCGGTCTGTGATTCTGTAAAAACTGTTCGTTAAGTTGGGCTCGGTTCGGACGGTTTTTATCTGTTTTCGTTCCTCTGAACTTTGATTTTTATTTTGCTGCTTCAGGTTTCTGGTTCGACAGGTTTTAATATTAGTTTCGGTTCTGGTTTGGTCCAGATGATTTTATTTTATAATTCATTATTTAATTTTTTTCTGCAGCTGGGTTCTGTCAGGTTCGGTTTCAGATCAGCTTTGACCGTTTTTTCTGAGCTTTCAATGTTCGGTTCGTTGGTTCTGCTTCTATCGAATCAACGTGTTGATTAAATCAGTTCGAATGTTCGTTAATAAATGACGGAGAGGTTCTGATCGTTTCTATGTTTTATATTCGCAGATGAAGAGTGTCTGTCGGACAGAACCGACTCCAAAAGTTCTGGAAACTCCCAGAAGAGGAAGAAACGGAGACACCGGTGAGCAGACATCCGTGGTTCCGTTTAAAGGAATTCGGGTTAATGAAGGAAACAGTTCGCTGAGTTTGAACACGTTTAGAATCAATAACAAAAGTTTGGTTCTGTTGTTCTGGACGGTTTTAAATCAGCTGATCAATGAAGGCCGGAGGTTTGTTCACACTGAACATCACATTTATTTCCACAGACAATTCTTATTATTGGTTATTAATCGGAACCGGACTCTGGGTCCTGACCAATGAAAACGAATTTTATTTAAACACGTTTAAAGAAAAGAAAGAAACAGAAAAATAAGAAGTGTTTTTAAAACGTTTCATTCACGTTTAAAATGAAAAGAACCGGAGTTCCACTTCGTCCAGATCCGCGTGCTGCTTTAACTGGGTTTATCTCCATGCGCACCGGACCGGGTTCAGAACCGCCTGATGGTCACTGGATCATAGTTCATGTTTCAGCTTTAACAGCAGAGACAGAAAACGGTCAGATTCTGGTGAAGTTCTGCAGCTCGGTTCATGTTTTCTTCATACAACAAGCTGCGGTCCGTTCATCCAGCACCAGCCGGCGGCAGCTGGACCGGTTCTGGAGGAAATAAAGTAACGAGAGCAGACTGAATATAAACAGAACTGAGTTTGGACCAAATATAACATGTGAATCGAACCTGATCAGAGCAGCAGATGCAGGCAGAACCAGAGTTCTGACAGAGTTCTGTTCTTCAGGACCGTGTTCACGTCGCACCAGCTGGAGGAGCTGGAGAAGGCGTTCCACGAGGCCCACTACCCCGACGTGTACGCCCGCGAGATGCTGGCCATGAAGACGGAGCTGCCCGAGGACAGGATACAGGTCAGCACCCGGTTCTGATCCAGTTCTAATCAGGTTCCTACCAGGTTCTAATCCAGTTCTGATCCAGTTCTAATCTGGTTCTGATCCAGTTCCCGTCTGATGCGTTATTAGTTTCTGACTGTAAGGCCTGCACAAAGTCCACGGATCACTGCAGAACCTGTGATCCAGAATCAAATGATTGAACTCACTGGACCGGTTCAGAGGAACATCAGAGTCTTGTCTTCGTGGTTCCACAGATCTAGTTCTGATCCAGTTCATGTCCAGGGTTCTTCCAGCAGCGTTTAGATCCTCAGAGATCCGGTTTGAGTTTGAGTTTAGAAAATAAAACGAGGAAATGGATCAGCACCAGGTTCTGTTGATTCCTTTTTAACAAGATGTAACGACATCAGATGTTCCTCCTGGTGTCTGATGGAGAACACACACACTGGATACATCACCAGAACCTGGTCCTAAACCGTAATGGTTGTGGTTCTATTTTGTAGCTCTGCTGTTTGTTCTGAGCCCATGTGGTTCTGCTTCCTGTTCCAGGTCTGGTTCCAGAACCGGCGGGCCAAGTGGAGGAAGCGTGAGAAGTGTTGGGGCCGCAGCAGCGTCATGGCCGAGTACGGCCTGTACGGCGCCATGGTCCGCCACTCCATCCCGCTGCCCGAGTCCATCCTCAACTCGGCCAAGAACGGCATGATGGGAAGCTGCGCCCCCTGGCTGCTCGGTGAGCCGCATGCACGTCAGTGCCCCGCCCACACCACACCACACTACACACNTCTGCTGTTCTGGTGTCTCCCTGCAGCAGTAATATGCTCCACATGGAAGGCTGTAGAGACAACAGTGTGAAGTCATCCCACCATAAAGCTGCACGTTGTTGTCCTGTTGTACACCATCTGAATACAGTCATGATGTTCCACATAGACAGTTAAGCCGAGCTGAAGCTCGTGCAAACCGGACTTCCTGTTTACACACTGATTTTAGCTCATCGTTCCTTTTTGTGGTCATCAAAAATCAAGAATATTGTTAAACGCCATGTCTTGTTTAATGGTGCCAGCAGATGTGTGGTTGTCGTAGCCGGTAGATGATGTGGGCTCCTGGTTGTGCTGCTGTTATCTGTGGAAGCTCCAGAGGTGGCCCAAGAACATAAAACACATCATGAAACTGAAGGTTATGAATATACAAGACAAGTTTAAAATGACCCAGAATCAATAAATAATTAATATTTTAGGTTTGTAAATAAAATAATGTTCTATGATTTATTTTACTGGAGTAACTAATTTCTGAATTAAATGGACATTCTTGTTCCACATCCAGCTGCTGCTCAGCACCGTACAACCATTTAGGAGTGCATCCATAGGACCAGGCGGGGGTGGCACAAGCCATCTCACCGATTTCAATGAAACTTATCCAGTTTAAAGGGNCCTGACTTGGAGCAAGTCTAGGACCTGACTTGGACAAGGTCTAGGACCTGGACTTGGTCTAGGACCTGACCTGGACCAAGTCTAGGACCTGACTTGGACCAGGACTGTTTCCACTTAGCTCTGGTTGGGTTGGACTTGATGGGAACCAATCTCTTGACAGGTCCAACTAGACTCAGGACCTGGTTCTGGACTTGGACTTGTAGTTCTTGCAGGTCTTGACTTGCCTGTGGTTGAGGTTTCTTTAGTGCAGCGTAAACAAGAACACTGTAAATAAACATAAACGTGTAAACAGGACTGTGACTCGCAGACTGAATCTGAATCTGGCTCCGCCCACACAGGGATGCACAAGAAGTCTCTGGAGATGGCCAAGAAGTGTCCAAGTCCTCCAGCGTCCGACTCAACTCGCTCCGACTCATTTTGCAACGCCTTGGAGCGACGCAGCAGCGGCGAGGTCCGGGAGGCGGAGGAGGAGGAGCTGCTGGAGGAGGAGGAGATGGAGGAGGAGGTGGCCATCGACCTGTCCAGCTCCTCCAAACAGCAGCAGCAGCAGGAGGAGGGCGGAGCCTCGATAAGGACCGCCTCCTCGCCACGACGACAGAGCGGCAGCGAATCAGACAGCTGAAAGTGGGAGGAGCCTGATGTGATCTCACTGAGAATGCAGGAGTGGTTTGATGATGGCACTCTGGTCTGGAGGCACTGACATTTGATTGGCTCATCTTGCTGGGAGCACAGCCAATAAACAAACAGCTGTTACATCACTTGTTACTATGCAAAGTTTACAGGAAACTGACATGTAAATAACCCACCTGCAGTAAAGCACAGATAACACAGACAGATAGCATGTTAGCATGCCAAGAAATGTTAGCATGCTAACAGCCTGTAGGGAATATATTATCATGCTAACACGTTAGCATATATGTGATGAGTTTTCATACTAGAACATTACATTTTTAACTGTGTTGTTGTTTACCTTCCCCTGCCTGGGTGGCGCTGTTGTGCCAAGTTATTGCCTAACTTTTAAGCAAAATGTTTCAGTGTTTATGTATGCTATAATGCTAAAAAAAATATATTATCATGCTAACAATGCAGTGCTTCTACTTTGGCATGCTAATAAATGTTAGCAGACCAAAGTATCCGCAGGGAGAAATTATTTTTGTGAACATTTGCACAATGCTAGCATTAAAAAAACTATGCTAAAATATAAGCTAGTTGCCAATATACTGCTACCAATAATTTATTTTTAGCAAATATGCTAATTGCTGTAAACTAGTGAAAAAGAAAGTAACATAACAAACACCCAGCTAATTGCGTTTATGGAAATGAAATCAATAGTTTAACTAAAATTACATGAAATGTCAGTTAATAGTTTGATTTATGTGATAATATTTGAGCACCTGTGCTTTAGCATTATGTTTAAACCTGGTGATGTTTAGGACCTGTGATAAAAACCTGTACGTTAGTGTGCTACTAAATGCTGGCATGCTAAGTTAGCCTAACAGACATTCACTAATTAGATAAAACATCTAATGTATGTTAGAATGCTAATGGTGGTCAATCTTCTAACAAATGCTAACTGAGATGCTTCCTAATGACGGAGCAGTTTGATTGTGCTAGCTGTGCTCCCAGGATGCTAACGTGACGAGGAATGCTAACGGTGCCCAGATCCTCCTCTGAGTGAGTCTCTCCGACAACATGGTGGACTGACTGATGTAAATGATGACAATGTCTCTGTCTGTGTTCCTTATTGTATCGTAACGAGAACTTGTTTTATATCCATGTTTTTTGGAAAGAAGTTTAATGTTTTATTCCTGTTGGTTTCTGTGTGTTTTATAGTCGGACTCAGCAGCTCAGTGGATGAATGTAATTTAAATGTAATATTTAAAAATCAGATTATTACTATCATTATTATAATATGTATGTACAGCAGGAGATTCAGCAGGTGTCAAATAAAAAAAAGTATTTTTGGAATCATTGTGATATTTATTTTTGGCATTTTTATCAGCATAACACAAATATATTCAGAAATAACGACCACAAACAAGATTCATCAGACAAAAGAGTTTTAATTTGTTTCAGAACCTAACACACAGAAAACGCCAACTTTACATCCACATTTTTAAAAAGGCAGAATTACGGCTAATTTTATCAACAATTTACTTTTTATGTAGAATTCTGTAAAATCTTCATCTTTTGAATATTGTGGTAGGAACCAGTCACGCTCTGTGGTTAATTAGCTCGTTAGGTTAATTAGTATCATATGTATAATAGTGGAAAGTCTTAACCCTGACATCGAAACAGTGATCTCATTCCTCTGCTGGATGTGTTTCCTCTGGCTGGGCGGAGCTTGTCGTCAGCTGACCTGGAACACCTGGCCAGGTAAGACCAACCTGCAGCTGAGCCAGACCCTCACATCAAGCCACCCAGGCTCTTGTTCTTCGCGTCAGTCTGGCTAGTTTTAAACGGACAACATGCTCTGCACTTCATGCTGCTCCTTTTTCTTTTTAAATCACGTTAAAGGATGAAAACTTTGTATTTTAAGAAAAAGTTAGTCGTAGTTTGTGAAAATTAACTTTTGATATTAGAGTGCAAATCATAAGGGCTTTATGTATGTATGTATATATATATATACATTGCATAACTAAAAAATAAAAAACCTGACATACACATAAAGAATTTAAATTGACAGAATTAATAAATTTTACAGTTCCAGCTTGTAAACTAATATCCGCTCATAATACGGATTTTGTTTCACTGTTTTAAATAATTGGTCTGAATTAAACTGACAAACCACGGAGTCCACACACAGCGACACAAACTCCATCCAAAACCTCAGAAAAGTCTCCTTCAGACATTTCCTGCTTCAGTTTGTCTTACAGCGGAATACTGTCAGCAGAAGCACTGACATGAGATTCATGTAGATTTGTTTGTTTCCAGTCGGATCCCGCAGCGGGGCGACACAACAACGTCACATCCGTTTTCTGCACGTTAGCCGTGAGCGTGCTAAGCTAACCAGCTGCTAAGCGCCAGATTTCTTCAACATGGCCGATTTAGTAGCTTTTAAAGCTGAAGTTGCCTTCATCGTGAACACTTTGGCCAAAGCGGTGGTGACGGAGATCTTCGCGGCGGCGGAGGACGTCTCTATGAATAAACATAACCCCGAGGCCGAGGTAAGCTAACGCAGCTAGCGGTGGCTAACGCTCACTCTTCCGGCGTAACGTCAGGACGCGATTCAGCGGTGAAGGCTCGTGTCCGAAACCCTTCAGGCTGTGCTGGCTGTGATGGGATCCCGTTCCCGCCAGTGAATCAAACATAAAAGCGTCACGGCTCGGACACGCAGCCGTGACCTGTTGGTGTGTGTGCTGCCGCAGCTTCCGGTCATTACACGGATCAGAAACAAACACGACCTGAACAGGAAACTACTTACATCTTCATAACGAGTTTAAGCGTCTCGTTCGTCTCGTTCGCGCAGTGCATGATGGTCCAGGCTGTAGTTGGTGACCATCGGCTGAACGCTGCTGTCCCGGTGCATTGTGGGACATTGAGCGTCCCCATTATAGTTCATATCCGGATGTGTGTGTGTCTGAACAGCAGCCGTGTGGTTTCTGACAGACTTTATGAAAGAGTTTCTGGTTTAATCTTTTAATATCCAAACTAAGTCCGACTTCGTCTTCGTCCCGTGTAGTCACACAGTCGTCCAGGCTTCCAGGGTCCGAGCCCCGGTATGTCCACACGTAGACCAAACAAACTGCTGGAGGCCTTGAACGTGTCCCAGAGGAGCGTCTGCTGGATCTGACACCAAAATAACACCAACCTGCTCACAGTCCCAGTTTTCAGATCTGCAGACAGATGCTTGAACCAGCGCCTGGTTCTGGCAATGGTATGTGTCTGCAGAGCCGGAGACTGCACGGACAGGGCCGCTCGTACAGGGCCGCTCGTAGAGGGCCGC